AATAGAAGGCTTAAGCAAAGCTGGAGCTGGTTTGGGACGTGGTTTTAATATGGAGACCACAAGCGAGCAGGAGTGCAGAAGAAAGATAATGGAGGATGCTGTTCCAATCACACTTAATTTATCATCATGCGAGAAAATACAATTTCTCTCGTTTTTCTCTTCAGAAAACATTAAACAAAAAAGAGTTCTACATTACAGGAATCGTTAAATATTTAACAATACACAAGTAAATTAAAATGTTTAAACTTTTCTGTATCTCGTGCTTTTACGCAAATAGGAGACGTAACTATAAATTCTAACATTAATTTGTGCAAAACATAAATTAACTTTCGATATACAACAGAAATTATCCAGTTAATCCAGACACGTACAGAACGCAGGGTCTAAGTAGATATAATTCTTGATTCATGTTCCGAAGTCCCTGGACTTTATTTTGTTCTTGGAGGCATGTTATCATGACTAATATTTCTGGAATTTCCTCAGTGTCTCCAGGAAAACGATGGGATGGTCCCTCAGAAAGGACCACAGTCACTTCCTCCTAACATGTCGTACACAACTATCGTGTCACTGCATATAGGAGTTGATAAATTGTCATTAAATAATCAAAAAATCTACCAATCACCGTGTCAGAAATAATCTACTATTCCGGAAGACGATCACCGCCATTACACTTTATCCAGAGAAATCTTAGTTCAGTAATTATTTATTACAGTCGATTAATCTGCGACATATTTTAATATTATTCTTCTATCTCAACCTAACTTCCTCGTATTATGAGGCGTTCCAATAAAATTTCACCAAGTCCCAATGCTGACGTACGTAATAGTTTTAATTTACCAAATACTTCGATTTCATTCGCTGAATTTGTGTTCATGATTTTGAGACACCTTATTTAACAAGAAAACAAAGAAACTATGACAAAAACGTACAAGAGCAAAGTTGTCCCTGTGCACATGTTATTTTATTTATTTTTAGTGTTCTGTCTGACGACAGGTCCATATGGACAGCATCCTTCCATCCTTTTCTCGGACTGGGACCCTTAAATTTAAGAGACTTTAGGGTACCAGTACCGGGATTCAGACCCTGGTCGCCCAACCATCGATTCATTACATCCAATATGAAACCGGTATCGATTCCTGTAACGTAGTATTTTAAGAGGGAAACATATAAGGCATAAGACAAACGTCGATTAATGTTAATACGTGCTTATATGGACTCCAACACCAACATCATGCCCAATGAAACTACACGCTGGTACAGGTTAACGAAATTTAACGTTCATAAACAAAAAATATATCTCTTTTCTTTACGATAACAATAATTTAAAATTTAAGGATTATGGTAAATTGTTAATCAGGTTTTAAAGAATACGTGAACAAATATAAACGTTTATAAACATCCAGTTACCAGCATATGAAAGGTCTTAATTAGTTCTGTGTATGTTGAAGTTTTGGTAAACGTTTCGCAGTTAGATTAGTGCTACTGTAAAGACAGATTTAGTCGAATACGCCTGTGGTAAGTTAATCTTCCATTCTCAATAACCTTCTATGGTTCATTATCGTGTTTAAAGGATCCCACAACCTCTTCCTGTTCTTTCTAAGAAACATTTACTTAAGATCATTTTTAATATTATCCTCATATTCACACCTTGGTCCTTTGAATGGTACTTTCCTTCTGGCTTCGGAACAAATTTTTTTTAAAGAAGTTCTCATCGCCTATATATGCCTCGCCTATCCACCAATTTGAACCACGCGGAGACAGACATATTGACACGATCTCACCATTATAATTCGTTACGTATTTCGTACAAGAACGCGTGTTAACTTTTGTACGCGAAGGGCTGTACGAGTAATAAAATCTTACGGCAATGTTGACTTCACAACAAAAGCGGGATCTTACCATAGTAAGGGGAGAGAAGAAAGAAATCTAGCATCCCCAACGATTGGCGAACTGTTACGACAAAATCTACGCAGAATTTCACTATTGACGAATCCGTAGCAAACACTTGAGAATGGAAACACTTGATTTGTAACGTTACCCTCTTTATATTACCCAGTATTCTTCCATACAACGGAGCTCTCTTGTGCCTCAGATCACATGGGAAAGACGTCGAACAGTGAGATGTACGTATAACGTCACTCACCTCCCGAGTTCTTGCGGGCCATGTCCTCTGCGCTGGAAGTTTTGCGCTGTTCGATGCGCAGGTTAGGGATGTTGAACGGCGGAACGTGCATGTTGTCGGAGCTGTACTGGTGCCTCAGCGGACGGTGGCGCTCGGGGCTCGGCAGGGACAGATTATCGAGTTTCAGCTTGTTCCTCTGGTTCCTGTGCACACATGCAACACTCCCGTGACATTTCAATGCTCTGATATAATTCCTGTTTCAAGTCGAGAGTGACAGGGCAGACTCGAACACAGTTTCAGCCAGAATTATAATACAAGACTTTGTACTTTTAAACGCAGAATTAAACGACAAAGAAACAAACAATTACAGGCAACTCTCAGTTTACGAACGTTGTTCGTTACGTGTATCTTGCATTTCGGAGCTCTTACGATACGTAACGTACGCCACGCGGCGTGGCATGTAAACCAACGTTTTTTTTACTGTATAGATTAGTTTTATTAACCAAGAACTGTTCAGTATAATTATAATATAATAATTTTCTGATAAATATTGTAATAAATATATTTTTTAAAAGTTTATTTATTTAAATCTTACAATTATGTTAACTATACATTTGGCATTTCGTTTTATAAGGAACCTTATCTATTGGCGACTTTAAGAAATTTTTAATGAATAGTGACGTTCGTTATAGCGAATGTTCGTAAATGTAAAGTTCGTAAACCGAGAGTTGCCTGTATTATAAATTACGGATTTTTAATGCTTATTATTATTATTATTATTATTATTATTTAGTTTTCTGTCTGACGACAGGGCCATATGAACAGGATCCTTCCATCCTTTTCTCGGACTGGGACCTGTTCATATACGTTCTTGGCAGATGATCCAGAAGTGGTTTGCCATTGCCTTCTTCTGTGTGTGAATGGAGTAATTGTTGGGATGCCACGGAGAAACCGGGGAAGCCCCCGGAGGAAAACTCCGTGTTGCCTAGACCACGGCCTTGCCCAACACAAGTTATAAATTCGGGCATCGCCAGGAATCGATACAGCATACAATTTCTTTTATGTTCTGAATTTTTAGTACGTAACTTCCTTAAGCTTACAGAAGGGCATACTAACCTGGTCGTCCAGTAGATCGCAAGACCCTGTACTTAATGGGCTGTCCCAGTTAGAAATTCATACTAAACACCCCTTTCACAAAATCGGTAAGAGGAAAATCAATTTAACGAACAATATGAGTTGGAATCACGTTTACATTTTCATCTTCAGAGGGCGATAAACTTATTTTCTGAGAACAGAAAATTAGATTCTTGTGTGATTTAAAACGAAGGGAGACTGAGACGAAGGAAGTACAATTCGTGAACAAAAGGAATAAGAGCGAAAATAGTACACAAAAAAGACTCAAGAAAAAGAGTCCATTACTGTAGCGTTTTGCAGCATTTGTATTAACAAATCAACGTCCACGTGTATTTTTAAAAGTAAATATTAATTAATTTTTTCACTTGAATTACCGAAATAAAAGCTGAGAATTTGGAGTAGTCTCTAGTGGCACATCATATCAAATTACATCCAAATCTGCCAAGTGGTTCTCGCTTTGAATCATGTTGGCATAGAAACGACCAACTCATAATAAGTCCCCACAATGCATTTCGTACAAAGAACGCATGATAACGACCCCACATTTTGAAACGTTTTATTATTAGTACAAACTTATTGTTTAAAATACTCGTGGTAGATAAATTTTGTAATAGGTCTACAGATATACAAAAACTCAATTAAGACCAGCGTTAATCAGGCATCACGAATGATTAAAACAAGAAATCGGCGTGACAGAAATGGCTGATATGAAATTATGAAGAAACCTCTAACCCATATTCGTGACATACAGTTGTGCTATACTAATACGGTATTTTTTTACTGTCAGTCGAACATAATTTTATATTTTGATTGTGATATTCCACTATTTGTTTTTCTTATATTTATTTAGTGTTCTGTCTGACGACAGGTCCATATGAACAGGATCCTTCCATCCTTTTCTCGGACTGGGACCTGTTCATATACGTTCTTGGCAGATGATCCAGAAGTGGTTTGCAATTGCCTTCTTCTGTGTGTGAATGGAATAATTGTTGGGATGCCACGGAGGAAAACTCCGTGTTGCCTAGACCACGGCCTTGCCCAACACAAGTTATAAATTCGGGCACCGCCGGGAATCGAACCCGAGACCCCAGGATTACAAGGCCAGCGTTCTAACCGCTAGATATTCAACTTCTGGCATTTGTTATGCCATCATCAGACCACTATTTGTACATGTCATATATGAAATAAACACAACGAAAAGTTTACTTTATCTGGACCACTGGCATCAATCACTGCCCGTTCCAGAACATCACCTACCTGTCTATGTGGTCCAGCATTTCTTGTAGCACCTCTATGAGGTTTGTGAACTGTTCTAGGTTAAGGGAAGGATTCACTGTCTGTGGTAACAGTGACGGCATTACTCTAGTTGCCATCAGGTTCACGGACAAGCCGTACTTCTTATCACTCAGCATCAGCCTGTAGATATCTGCAGAGACAATATCGACACTCAGTATCGACAAACAGATGTAAATTCAAACATAAAGAATTATATTGGGAGAAGGAAAAATTAAGATTTTAAGAAAATAACAGTAAAATTTAACGGTTAAACACATAGGAACGAAAGTTTGAAATACAAACAGGATATTTTGTCTGATGAATTAATCGCCCTGATGACGGAGGCAGCATGGACCTCTGAAACGTTGGTGGAAATCTACCAGACTACACGGCGCAACAACCCAGAAGACAGACACCGTTGTGAAAACCTCAAATCATACATCACTTTGCTCATTAGATAAATGGGTCTTGGGTAAAGTTAATCTCATCGTCTCAAAGTGAAAGATAAATTTTTGCATTCGTATGAAACAAAAGGCAAGTTTATACAGGGTGATTCAAAAAGGACTTTACAACTTTGAAAGTATATAGAAATTTATTCAGAAGTCTTACAGAATTGGTTGAGGTGTCATTTTGTAGCAAATCAAATCACGTTCTACCTCAAACAGTCATTTTGGTTCGATGTGATTGCCATTGGTGATACTGAAGACATCCCACCTGAAATCAATTTCTTGCCAAATACGATCCAGCATATCCGGTGTCACTTCTGCAACTCAACGTGAGTCAAACTTGATTTGTTTTGCTACAAAATGACACCTCAACCGATTCTGTAAGCCTTCTGAATAAATTTCTATACACTTTCAAAGTTGTAAAGTCCTTTTTGAATCACCTGGTATAACTCTATTTATTTTAATATTCATCCTTTAGAAAGAACACCAGAAGATGACAGATTCTGAATTGACATTTGGATGCTCATTTGAATTTGTCACTTGAGTTCCCTCGTCTTCCATTTCATCTCCGATAGTTTCAACACACAGTAACCTGCTCTAATTGGCAAAGGAGACGAACTACCTGGTGATCGAGTGAGGTCTCCGGAAGTGACGAACGCTTAATTGGGATCTACTTTTCCCTTGTCAAGCAAATTATATTCTACAGTGCAAATAAGACGTCAGGAAAAGCTCGACCTACCTTATTCTTAACTAATGATTTTCAAAGGTGTAATGTATAGATGGTGCTGAAGTCAAATTGCTAGTTTCCTTCGTAAACGAATGCAGAGTTGTCCCGGGAGCTTATTAAGTATCACATTATGAAAATGTAAGAGGGAGTCGAAATACAGCTCCACTAATTATCGAACTCGACATCAGTTAGAGGCCAGTTGTTAGATTCAAGCCCCGTCCCTCTTATCACCGGAAAATAAGCCACATTCCACTTACCGCATACTTTGGACAGGAGACAGTAGGACCCACAGACTGTCTGCATGCAGCAGCTAAGACATAACCTCTTGTTCGTACCGGAAACTAAATCCCGGAAGTTCGGCTCAGCCTGGTAACCAAGGATAGTACATCCTTGGTTACCACTATCTTTTTTTATATAAAATCAAAAATTTCTAATATTGCATTCTGAAAAAATAACATTTAAGTATGGAAACATTTAACAGTAAACTGGAAATGTCTTAACGAGGAACTTCCCGTTTCCACTGAAACAAATCACAGCGACTACTGAGAGTTCAGAGCGGAAAAGGCACTTTGGTCATCAAATTTTAAACACGAACAGGAGTGGGTAAATTATCTATTTAAACAGCACTGGTGTTTTAGTATGCTAGAACAGCGTGTCTGGCAGACCGCGTATAATCGAACATTACGATTTCGGCAGATAATAGTTAGGATTTAATTCCAAGCGTATAACGGAAACCGCGTTGAAGAAAGGTCAGTTATAGACCTGAAGAGATTAATGGAGTAAAGGAAATATAATATGAATACAGCAGAAAAGACGACCAGCCGAATACTATAAATCAACGATGTTGTAACGACAACATTTTTCTCATATAAGAACAAGAAAAAGGCCAAGTTGTTACAATTTAATGCGAAACTAAACACGCTTTAGAACTCTGTCTTCAGAAAATAAGTTTACAGGCGAGTTTATGTTAATTATGGGCAATGTTAAAACATTAGCATTTGAGCTTTAACAGATCTTGAGGTGTGACAGAGTTACACGCATTCTACAACAAAATCTCCACGTAAGAAATTTATTAAAATATGATATGGAAGTCATATCACAGAAAATAATTGTCATAAGGTCATTTATCATACAAATCTCCTGGATTCCTACAATAAGTGACGCAGAACACATGGTGATACCGTATATTCATATAATATTATAGCTCCAAAGCGAAAATTTTCCTGTGCCTGGAATATCGTATGATTCCAGTTAATTAATGAATTACTTTCAGGGTTATTCTAAAAACTATTTTAAAGTATTCCAGTCACATACGCGCGTACGAGGTATGTCGATGGGACGAAAGTGTTTACGCATTATTTCCACTGACAGCCTGAAGATGTCGCATGGGTACGTTTCCGTGTATCGATCGTCAACGATCGTACGTATCATCGATGGCAAGCGATTACGCATTCACTGTCGGAATTCACATAAAAACAAACATTTGTGAAACGCACTCGCGAGGAGCTAATTCAGCTTGGTTTTTATGTTTATATGATCAATGCATTGACGTCTATGTGAAAGACTACCAGTATTGATTTCTCACCCTACTTCGCAGTACTTCAACACCAATAACGCTCGCTACGCATCTCGCACGTAACAAAGATACGTGCTCTCGAACTTCGTCGAAAATAAAACGGTGGTCAGATCTATCCAGTTTGAAGAAACAAGTAATTTTTAAAAACGTAAGTCGTTTGCAGACTGCAATGCGGTGTCTGTGGATGTGTTATCTTTGGCGTAGGGTAAAGTTGAATTTCGTCTCGACCTCTGTAGGACCGCCGATGGTGTTCACATTGAATTGAAATAAATGCCACTAAAACTTGGGGAGATTTTCTAGTTTTGTTAATAAGATATTTTTATATCAAAGCAGTGAATATATATTTATAACTAAACCTCCAGTGCTCTTTCGTGGACATTCTGTATTATAAACCAACTGTGCATCACCTACTGTGGTTATGTCGTTAAACTAACCCAACTCAAGCGAAACCTAGGTTAATGTGCCCGAGTAGATAATGACGCCTTTATCCCAAATTTTGAAGAGAAAAAAAGAGACAATTGATAATTTGAATGGAGGTAAGTTCAAGCTATCTCGTATTAATTTATTTTATAAAAGGAAGGAAACTTCAGCATCTGTGGAGCCCTTATTAAAAGCAAAATTGCATGTCTGTCTGCACGTAAAAACTCAAGAACGGCTGAAAGGATTTTCATAAATATTGAAAATGGGGATTTTTATAGAAAATTATTGAGCTAAGTGAATTTAACGACCAATTAACACATAATTATTTTTCCCTGAATTATTTCAACGAATCGATGTGTAATGGTAACTCGTGGTGTTTTCTTTGAGGTAGGAACAAAGTATTATTTGATAATTTTGGATATCATGATGTACCGACGTCTATTTTGCTGAAGGTCCTTACTAGCACGTCTATCCTATTTATAAGTAATCTTCATAAGTTAGCATTCACGAGCTGAAAATCCAGAGGCTTCAGAAACAGCTACTCAAAGGGATAACCACCTCCTTACTAGCAGCCATGAGAACCTAAAATCCTACACTACGAACTGTTCGAAATATTAGGTTAAGGTCGTACACCATCGTCAGTACTCATACAACGTTTTATGAGATATTGGGTAACTATATTTAATCACACAGAGTAACACAATATTACATATAAATTATGCAGGCCTACAAAACATATCGGCCGCCCTGGGGTTTAAAATTCCTCGTGCCAAAGCCTTCATATATATCCACTTTGAGCAATTGTGTAAATAGTGCTTGGTTAAATTTATTTTGCAGTTAAGGTTGCCGGCTGCATTCAGAAGCACGCCTCAGCGCAGTTCGATAACCAATTGTGTGGGAAAGGGCTGATGTGGGCCCAGGAAGGGTCTGTTAGTCGTCCGGAGCCATGGCTCCGGTCGCGCAGGAGCGCCGTCATATATTTTTTTCCTCGGTGCTCTTACACGTAACGTGAGGAAACGAGATAAGGAGCCTGTCATTACTGCTGACGGGAAGATGGCCGAGTACTGCAGTCAGCGATTTTAACAAGTGCTTACTCATTGTAGACTAGTATTTTTATCTGACACGCCGTGAATGTTTACAGATTAAATTTAGTCTGTAAATTTTTTTAATAAATTCTGTACTCTCAATGCAGACTCTGCCATGCCCCACAATACGCTCCATTGTAATCGCGCATAAATTTCTTGCTACCATATTCGCCACCGTCAGAACGCAATTTCAATTTGCGTGAACTTTTGACATTTGGAGGTGAAATGAGTATTAGCTAACGGTCTGGCAAACACTGCAGCTGCCTTTTTCAGGGAGAATGTGTGTTGGTTGGAACATTTTGGAAGCCTTATATAGGGCGAGTTTGATTTTATGGTGGCGATTAATTGAACGCCAGCAAGCGGTGACTGAGTTTGAGGCTTACAGTTCCGATTACCATATCATAAGTCAGTCGCTACTAAACTTAAACTACACTCCACCGAAAAAAAAATACCTTTTAGAGAACAGTACTCGGTAAACTGTTCAAAAGAGTAGCCCGACTTTTAAGAAACCCAAATTTTCAAAACAAGATCCTGCCACTGAATCTTAATATGAACCACTTTAAACCAGTCGATATCCTCATAACTTATTCAAGATATATTTAACACCCCTCCATCAAAGTCTAGGTCTCCAAAGTGTTCTCTTTCCCCCAGATTTTCTGACTAAAACACATGCATTTCTCAACTATCCTATACGTGCTACATACCCAGTTAATCTTATCCTCCTCGATTTGATTACCATAATAATATATGCCCGAGATCGAAAATTATAAAACTCCTCAAAATGCAAAATTCTCCATTCTTTTTCAATTTCTCTCTCTTAAACTCAAATAATCTCTTCAGCTCTGTTCTCAAATGCCTACAATCTGTGGTATGCTTGAGAGGCCACGTTCCACATCAATAAAAAAACATGACAAATTAATTTCATATGACAAATTCCGTCTACAGAAGCCAATATCTGCTCAGCTAGCCAATAAAAGTTCCTCGAGTTCTATGGAACCCAAAGGAGCATTACCATATTCACAAGCTGTAATTTTGTATATTTAAAACTAAAGGTTTTCAGAGGAACATGTCCAAATGTAGTAAATTATAGACCACTAATTCTGTTCTGCATGAGAAATCAGATATACAACAGGACCAGTATAAAGATCGTAAATGATAGTTCATAAATCCACATCATGGCTGAACGTGTCTTTCAGTTCTAAGCTACATTTCCAAACATACACACAAAAACACACGACATTTCCATTACTGATTCCAAACAGCCGATGTGCATTACCGTTGAGGAGCCATTTGTGGCTTCCGGACAGAGGTACGGTTACTCGGCTAACTTACGTACACACTTTCCTTTAAAGCAATCTGCTGTTCTGGGGATGAACGGTTATACTTCGCTAATATTTTATTCACGTATATATCGATTGGTACTTTTTGTATACACTCCCTGTACGTACATTTCCTAATTAGAGCGTCTGATTAATCGAAAAGTTAATGGCTGCGGTTCAAATTCCTGAGGGACATTTGTTTTTATATCGTCATATGTACAGATCGGATCTGTTAATCCTTCCAGCAATATATTTATCTAATGCTTCTAGAATATATGGATCTTGCCTTCCATAACCCACTGATTGATGTTAAAATACAGCTAGATAATACATCTAATATTAGATGTATTATCTAATTTTAGGCATTGTCCATCGCTCAAAATTTCGGAAACTGAATTCTGCTTTCGTATTCGGGTATAAAAAGGGGGGGAACAGGGCAGAAAATCCATCTGTTGGGCCACCTGGTTGAGCTAGCCTCAGACCTGACAGAAATTTTTGGCTTTGAATGTAATAATTTTTTTAAATCTGAACAATGTGCACATACTGCTTTAAAATATTTTGGGGATATTATATTAAACTCCATTTTCTTAGTTTATCTTTATTATAATTGCCTATCACCGACTTAAACAATTTACACGAGACCCAACTCGTAATTTATTTGGATTTCGAAAACTTGTATTGTCGTTTCTATGGTAACCGTGTCAACAGGCACGAGTACAATGCCCCCTTGTGTCTACTCTTTTCATCAAGCTGTAATAATATTTACTAACGTAAGGAAGATGTGGGGTGTAAAGAAGAGAACCTAACCTAACCACGAAACAGGCAGAAACTAGGGTGACTGAAAATTCGAGGCTATTGTAAATTTAAAATTTAAAGCGTCTTGCGTCGTGGTGGAACAATCAAATCTTTAAGACCGAAATTCGTCAGAATAATATTTCAGTTCGCACCTCAAAGAAAACATAACACTTCATCATTAAGTAGATCAACTGGTTAACAATAGGAAATAATAATTGTACAAAACCTTTCAGTTTAAAATTCACAGTTACTTAGTTTTGAAAGAGGTGGTAAATACAGTTACCACTAGGCATTAAACCGTTAAGGGTACCAAGACATTAGTAGACGTCATACAGACTGTAACATCACACGTAGAGGAAGGAAGGATAATATTGCCCGGTAGAAATTCTCCTCAGTATATTCTGAGACGTCCAGTAAGTAAAACTGGTATGATTTGCTAGACTACAAATTGCCCCCAAAGTGTGCATAATTAATCCGCCTTTCCTTGAACAACACATCAGCCGATAATCTTTCATTTCACACATTAAATATTAACAAGAAGTTCTCGACAGAACCCATAAAACCTACTTGATGGAAATGATTTCATTAACCGCCGAAACCCACCGTAACATAATCAGTAGTGTGTAACCTGAGCACTGGAATTTGGTATTCATCTAATTACACTCGGCTGACTGGGTTCTTAATCAACAAGATTAACACGAAATTGTACTCCCACTTGGATGCTATTTCTGGAGAAGTCAACATCCTCAACAGAACTGATTGGACGTATTTATTTACCTTTCGCCGTGAGAAATTGTGTGCACAATACGAGGATCTGCACTCCAACGTCACAGCCTCATGACATCTGGCGACTTCGCTGATCCAGCTTGGAACATTTTTAGCTATTCTTCTCCTTTACACGAGATTTATAAAAACGTGGCACAGGGAGAGAAGCGAACAAACGAAGGAGAGAAGAAAGACATATGACAAAGAGGGTAGACAAGAGAAGCGAACAAACGAAGGAGGAAAGAAAGACATATGACAAAGAGGGTAGAGAAATGTATATCCAAACGGTGGGAGGATGGCTGAAAGAAAGAAAGAAAGAAAGAAAGAAAGAAAGAAAGAAAAGAAAAACATGAAACAAAAAATTAATCCTTTGGAAGCTACTTTCCATAGAAAGTGAGATTACTGAAGATTTCTGTCTTCTGGGTTGTTGCGCCGTGTAATCTGGTTGATGTTTACCAACGTTTCGGAGGTCATACTGCCTCCGTCATCAGGGCGATGATTATGAAGATTTCTATCTTCTCGGTTGTTGCGATTTGTAGTATGGTCGATGATAACCAACGTTTCAGGGGTCATACTGCCTCCATCATCAGGGCGATGAAGATTTCTGTCTTCTGGGTTGTTGCGCTGTGTAGTCTGATCGATGTTTACCAACGTTTCGGAGGTCATACTGCCTCCGTCATCAGGGCGATGATTATGAAGATTTCTATCTTCTCGGTTGTTGCGATTTGTAGTATGGTCGATGATAACCAACGTTTCAGGGGTCATACTGCCTCCATCATCAGGGCGATGAAGATTTCTGTCTTCTGGGTTGTTGCGCTGTGTAGTCTGATCGATGTTTACCAACGTTTCGGAGGTCATACTGCCTCCGTCATCAGGGCGATGATTATGAAGATTTCTATCTTCTCGAGAGCCACTTACACGCCGGGGCAAATCTCTGAGTCCTACAGAAGTGAGAAAATAAGTCATTCAAACAACATAGGAGTCCTTCAGAACCCTGAGGTGTTGGCGAAAGAGAGAGATAGAGAGAGAGAGGCACTTACTTACAACCCTGAGCGTGATCTCTGGGTCCTGCAGCCTCACGTCCCAGAGCAGCGGGAGAACCTCGTCAATGATCTGCGCCTTGTCAAGGCGATCCAGGGTCTTCTCCACGCACGAGAGGACGTTCAGTACGATTTTCAGGTCGGCCACGTTCTTCTCATACACAGTCTTCATCTTTGGGAGCACCATGCGTCGGATAGCCGTCTCGTCCAGGTACTCGGACACGTTCGTTACCGCAACCAATGCTGCGCTCTACCGGTACAACAAACAACTATCTTTACAAGCAGACAAAATAACCATAGCAGTCGTCACGAAACTGGATTCCTCAAGGCCACGGAAGGATTCTCCCGCCCTTTACCGCGATTCTCAAAGCCAACCGCACAGCGTTGCTATCTTTGCTACACTGTGAGGTCTAAGCTGTCTTCACTCGTTTGGGATCCACTGCTCGTGTTGTAATGACGTATGATTTGTCTGTGATTTTGAAGCATGCGATTTAGTGATGACTACTGTAACGAATAATGATTTAAAGCTAAAGTTAATTTATTTACTCATGTATAAGATAATAAAGTTGCGTCATATTGTGATAAATATATATTTGTTTAATCCTGTTAGTCGAATCACAATAAAATTCCTATTAAATATTAAAATATTACCATAATTAACATATAAAATATATTAAAATATATTAAATGATATTCTCTATCGAAATGTTCGATTTACATTAGAACATCACTTTTTACACGACATGTTTCAGTTCTTTTAGAACTGAACTGAACTGTTCTAATGTAAATCGAACATTTCGTTAGAGAATATCATTTAATATATTTTAATATATTTTAAATATTTAAATGTTAATTATGGTAATATTTTAATATTAATAGGAATTTTATTGTGATTCGACTGACAGGATTACTCATGTATAGTTTATTTAACAAATTTTTAACAGATCATATTATATATTCCTAGTATTGACTGCTTGTACTAATAAACACTAAACTGGAAGTAACCTAATTTAGGGCACTAACCTAATATTTTTTGACGAATTGAATACAACAACGAAAATCGCTTGTGAATGGTATATATTATTTAAACTGACAGGTAAGCGAGATTAAAATTAGCTTTGGAATGTGAAATTGATCGTAGTGTAAGTAATTAATTTTCGAACTAAACAAGAGAGACAACGTATAGATACATGTTATGCAGTGCACGCGAACGGCATTATTAGTGACGGACGTAATATTTGTATGGCTATCTGGAGATTCCCTCAAGTATCCAAGATAAACAAGGGATTCCCAACAGAGTTACTTCCGTTTCTGAAAATGTACGTAAAATGCACGCAAATTGTCCGTTATAAATGTTAAGTTTTTTACAAAAAAATTGAAATGTGTCAACAGATTGATATAAAAATCCATGAAATAAAATATTACGAAAAATACGATCAGAACTCACGAGTTGTTATAAAAACACTTACAGACACGTAATGGCGTATTTTCCTTTGCATATTCTTGTTTCAAAATAGCTTAAAAACGAAGAAAATATTTTTTAACGTCGAGATTCATGTTAAGCAAATGGCAGTTTTCATGTCATAGTTACAGAATCCTAAAATACTACTAAATGTGTAGATTACCTAACTCATCAGGATGTCTACGTATTGGGTGAATGCTTGGATCTAAAGAGACATAAGTAGAAACAAACAGATAAGTAGACAGCTCGATACAATAGCTGACTGATGGATGTACATAAATACAAACAAAGAGATAGGTAAAATAAAAGATGAGAGACACTCTAACAAACGTGTACGTTATCTTCACGAAACGATCTTTAATATATCCAGCAGTGGGTACATCGTAGTACACGGGCACTGGGACATTATTTGCTCTCGATAAACTTCTTCTGCAACGTCTGTTACATATAATTAGAAATGGATCAAAAGAGCACGAGTAACCACACAATCGACATGACTAAACAGGGCTATTTCTGTTGTTATCGTACGTACTGACTGTGTGCTTTTTCACACGAAAACATAATTACTTTTCTATAAGTGAAATCGCTTGGAACCCATTAAAACTGTCTGATTTGTGTAATTAAAACCCGTCTGAAATCAAATTTTATAAATGAAAGAGGCATGACGTTTGGACATCTGGCGAAATGAAGTGGGCGGCTGTCTAATCCATGAAGTCTGAGGGTTTCTGACGTTGGTGCTTTGTGATATGTAAAACTGATATTTGGTCTTTGTCCATCGTCTATATTTAAAAAAAAAATTACGTTTCTGAAGATGGAAGCCAGTGCCTGAACATCTGAGCTATCGCCCGGCCATCTGCAAATTGTGTGTACTAAATATGATTTGAGGTTTTCACGGCGCAACAACCCAGAAGACAGACATCTTCAACATATGAAATCATAATCCGTGATAATTCATAAGAATTTTATATTTAAATAAAACGTAGCTCGTAATTGTGAAAAACATACATATCTACTGTCTATTAACATTTTTGTTACTGATGCCTATTAATGTCAGTTTGTCTCTATAACTCTAGGACGAAAACTTAAGTACCGCAGGGATTAGACTGCGAAGCATGGCTCAGAAACTACAACCAGTTAATTAAATTTCCTGACTAAAGCTGAATGCGTGTACCAACGAACATGTAATTTGCAGGATGTTAAATTGCTATACGTCTGTCTTAGCCATAATGCCCTGTATCTGCCAAAACATGATGTAAGGGATTTGTCCCTTGTTCATTGTTTCATCTTTACCACTACAATACAATTGGGGGGGGGGGTTAAACAATTGAAGAAAAGAACTTTCATCTTTCCTAATTATTCATTACCGCAGCTGTAATGATTTTTTTAACATTATTTTGTTACCAGCAAAATGCCATTCAATATTTTCCACGGGGCTGTCTCTCCAAGATGATATTTGTACATACCACTTATTTCTACGACTCGCCGTCTGTTATAAACGTATCGTAGCATTTTTGGACAGTCCTGTACCTAATCTTCGAATCACAAAATATCGAAAATTTTCTCGGTTGGGTTACACAAACAGGAAGATTATTATAATTTTTGAGAGCTTGCTGCTTCCATCATCTGGGAGACCGCCCTGATGATGGACGCAGGAAGCACCTGTGAAACGTCAGTTAACAGTCTCAACAACCCAGAAGACAACCATCTTCATGCTCGTCGCCGTGATAACCTTAATACTTACTTCGCACCATTTCGATTTCCTGTGTTAAAATTTTGTAATGAATTTTGAGTTATTTAATAAGCACTGTAAGGAAGTGACTTAGTCCCGTCTTGTCTGTATAGTGTTAGTCACTTCTTCTGCACGCTTGGGATATTTAAATGTGAACAAAATTTATCCGTCCCTCCAGACCAAATCACATTTTATGGTATCTTTAGCAAGAAACGGTGTAACACAAGGGATTCATTCTAAAACTTTGAATATAAAATGTAACCGTGCAATGTGGGACTTATTTTACAACGTAAACGAGTGATATAAACTAACCACAGGGGTAAAGTCACCGAATGTAACGAGCATTAAGGGAGATCATTTATACTTAGGTCAAAACATGGAGATAAGAGTGAACGCGGGGGGAAACTGGAATTGAGGGAGATCGTTGAACTCGTGAATTTCTTGAAGGGAAAACACCATTACAAATAGACCATGTGCACATCTTTGATATTTGGTCGAAACATAACCCCAAAATGACAACTTTACAGGATGTTACCTTTAAATTTACAGAGCTTGCGACAAATCGGATATTTACGTTAAACAATTAATATATTTCACAAATTTTTCATGCTGTTCTAATTAAGATACACGCATGAGGGTCTTACCAAACGAAATAACACAAGTTTCAGTCAGTATTTGTAATTTTCTAAAAAAATTCTATGCTTTGACAATTGCCTAATGATTAACTCTTGCTTGAACATTATATAAATGGGAAAAGATCTCGCGAAGAACGTTCAAATTAACGTAACACGTATCTGGACTTGTTTCGATATATTATTCTGTAATGGCGTGTTTTGGAGGAAAGGAGATACGTAAGGGATACATCACGGTCAGTGTCCCTGATGATGGAGGCAGAGTGGATCTTCGAAACATTAGTTTTTAACTCAGTACCGATCCGGCTGATCGTCCAAGAGGCGTTCATAGCATCCGCTAGCCGTGGAAGTTTTAAGCCTTACAATGTTAATTAATTGATACTAACAAAGCAGTGAATTGTTGAATTGAAACAGAACGGTTATGGAAAGTAAAACTGATGGTAGTATCGAGGGAAAACGTAGATACAACGTACCTGGACCTGTATCGTAGTGCTTTCAAAAGCGTTGTACAACATGGGCAGGACCTCCGACCTGATGTCGTCACGAGGTGTCTTCTCCAAAATCACATGGAGATTCTCCAACAACGTAACCGTCGCCTGGATCGATTTTGGGATGGAGAACACATTCCTGGAATGCACGAGGACAAACAGTTGTGTGTGATCAACACAGCAAAAGTAATGACGCAAAGTCATTTATGATTAATTTACTAATGGAAACATAGCAGAGTATTAATCATGCGTGATCAGTATTAAATATGCATGATTTTTAGACAAAACATAATATAAAATATAATAATGTTATTTGGTAGACTTTGATAAGGCGAATAATTCATGACCCAATGACCTAAATGCATGTCCTTGTTGACAACCTGATAATTTCTTATCTAGATAAGAAATGCCTCGTTTTTAATGGAACCCAAACCCTATCCTACGAAAGATGAACTCGGTCCACACCCTTCGATTAGATTTTCTTAGCATCCATTTTAATATTATCCTACCATTTGTTTTCCAACTAAAATGACACACGAATTTGTGATCTCCATCATCCATGCTACATGTCCGGCCAGCTCATTCTATTTGATTAGACCATCCTGATAATCAATATTTAGGACATAATTATTTACATTTACCGTCAATCTTCTTTGCAGTGGTACAGAGCTGGAGCTACTCATAGCCTTGATAATTTCACGGGGCGTCTTGATTAATTTCTTATCGTATGAAGCAAAGTTTTATATTTAAATTAGCAAATATTAAAGCATTACCGACCGACAATTACCAATTTTGGGTTCCTACTTCTAGACGCGAATATACATCAAAACTTCATCGGAACTAGACGGAAGAAAGTTGCGTTTGGTAGAGAAATTGAAAAGACAATGAGAAGCCCCGATCTTTCTCAAAAATCTTTCCTTATACCCTGCAACTTTAAGATTTCAGTAAGAATGTAGCTTACGATTGGCCAATGCCAACGAGAATTCTGAAAACTATGATTGGGTTTCTTTAAACACGTCCTTTGTAGACGTGTAAAAAATTATCACGTGAAGAACACATTACGAATAACTTGCGAAGGAGGACATCAAAACCAAAAGGACGAGGTACAGGACAATATAAGTTAAAGCCAACAGGAAAACAAACTTTAATGACTCCTACTTAAACGTGGGGTCCACAGTGACCGCTTGGTCGCTGGGACCGTGGGTTCGAATCCCACTCAAGCCATGGATGTCTGTCCGCGTTTTTCTGTGTCGTGTTGTCCTGTCTACAGGTAGAGGCCTTGCGACGGGCCGATCCCTCGTCCAAGGAGTCCTACTGAATGTCTATAGATCAAGCCAACGAAAAGTTGGGACCCACAGTGCTCAGGCACTTGAAGAACGGGTCGTTCCTAGTACTTAAATGTTCTTAAAATACAATCTTCCGATTGACCGACTCAGATGAGTTAAGTCCTTGAACAGCTGAAAAAATTGTTTCAGAAATACATGTTTTCAAAATTTAAGAACCTGTTTAAAATATTATTTCAAATTATTTGAGTCCAAGGAAGTATCGTCTCATCTCCATCTGTGATGAATTCCTGTTAAATGTTGGTAATCATCTCCGAGAAAACATGGCGTAACAGGAAGCAAGACTACAATCGACGTTTCCAGCGCCGCGAGAACCTCATAAAAATATAATTTTCTTCTACATTTCGAAAAAACAAACTAATTTAACTCAGAGCAGAGCCCGGTGAAAGGCTGTTTTAAATACGACACTGAATCTTCGATAGCATAAAAGACGGTAAAATTTGTCACCAGAGGAGTAGTGAACTCTTCAAAAGGTTCTGCACCAACGAGGAATAAACAGCAGACGGGCGGGTTGCCCACTACCAGGCGTCGCGTCCCACAACCGGTGAGAGTGAGGAGTACATTTATCCTATCCACACATCCAGAATGTATAAATAGAGCTGTTCATTGGCTGTCTGGGAAAATTTACACCCAGGCTGAAAGTCCACTGAAGCGTAAAGGTCATCGTTAGAATCCACCTACACTTTAAACACGACGATTACGGAGTGAAATTATATAGTCCTACATGATTGTAATCCTGGGGTCTCGGGTTCGATTCCCGGCGGTGCCCGAATTTATAACTTGTGTTGGGCAAGGCCGTGGTCTAGGCAACACGGAGTTTTCCTCCGGGGGCTTCCCCGGTTTCTCCGTGGCATCCCAACAATTACTCCATTCACACACAGAAGAAGGCAATGGCAAACCACTTCTGGATCATCTGCCAAGAACGTATATGAACAGGTCCCAGTCCGAGAAAAGGATGGAAGGATCCTGTTCATATGGACCTGTCGTCAGACAGAACACTAAATAATAATAATAATAATAATAATAATAATAATAAATGACAAAACGCTGGTCTCCTATTCGATACCAGTTTGAAAAGACATTGTCATCATTCTTAAATGCAAAGTTAACACACAGCGCAATAACCCAGAAGACAGAAATCTTCATACTCACCAATGTGAGAACCTCAAGTCTTACAAAGTTAACACAACTTCCGAGTTACGTCAGTTATAGCTAATTAACCAACCAACCAACCAATTGGATGTTCATTTCATTCATCCTATTATGGTTGTTTTTGAGTGTATAAACCGTAGTCGATCAAGTAATACGTATAAGCCTGTCTCCCGAGCCCTGATCTTAAGAAGTGATCTTTCGTATTACGAAGTAAGGACAACAAAATACTATAACAAATTCATCCCGGAAGAATTTATTATACGTAGCCGCCGTGAAAGCTTCAGATCATACAACAAAATACTACTTTCGCCTGCTGACTCCTGAGTATTAACACGAGGTTCAAATAATACGTAAAAAAAAATACACACTACCAAGATATATATCTTATCTTCTTTCAATTGTCTATAATTGTATCAGTAAAAACACTTATTTCTCACACGTGTTTCATCAACTTTATTAACACTTTTTAATAAACAATTATAACATTACTCTATGATATGAAGTCTCGAAACATTTTAAATTATATGTAATTTTGCTTCAGATTACAGTTAATAAAATGTACTTCGAGTGACAGAATCTGTTTTCTATACAGTCGTATCAATATCATAACTAAATACTTTGGGCGGGGCATGTAGCGCGCATGGATGGGACAAGAGGTGTGCTCCGGGTGTTGGTTAGGAAGACTGAGGGGAAGAAACCGCTGGGGAGACCTAGACGTAGATGGGAGGATAATGTAAGGCGGGATCTATGGGAGATAGGAGTTGAAGGAGACTGGATTTTGTTGGCACAGGACAGGGTCCGGTGGAGGGCTTTGGTTAATTCGGTGATGAACCTTCGGGTTCGGTAAGCCATCTAGTTAGTTAGTTAACTAAATACCTAACTAAAATAACTGACGTCATGCGTAAAGAATTCAAACAAATGTAAGTTAGATTCTCTTGTTAGGGAACACAATTTTTTGTGGTTTTAAGAAAGGTATCCATTGGCTACCATTTAAGGCTTTAAAGCCCAGTGGTAATTTTACAATCTGATTTTCATTGTAGACAGGTATTATTCCTGAAACAACATTAACAAACTGATCTTGGTAACGGAAAAGTGTGTATTTGGCGGTATGAACTACATTCATAAATATTATTTGGCTCCAAAAACTTAAGCAGTGACTTTGCTAAGTCTTGTTCACACTTTTCTCTTGAAAAAAACTTTTTGTTATTATTATTATTTTAATTATGTCGTAAGCAGTTTTGAGTGACATTTCTCGACCAGAAATTTTATCCTGCCGTACTGTACATTCTGTTCAAATTCTGTTTCCACGGATGCTACATTTAAGAACCAATTTAAACCGCCCTTTAATTACCCTAATACTTCAAGACGAAAAATAAAGCGTAGAATCTTCATCGGATGTTTTCCAGTCTCTTGTAATTTCGTCGAAATGGAACGTGAACACTTTGTTCCTTTCTCCTGTACCCTGATAATAGGTTAACATTTTTCTGAAACGAATCTTGAAATAGTTTGTTGGCTTTCTAAGAATCCCTGTCTCCCTCGGGATCCAGAGCCCTTATAACAAACAGGAAGACACAATATGCAGCATCAATGTAACAATCAATGAGCAGATTCCATTGAAACCGAGAGAAGGAGAGAAATTCGCTTTCTTCGACGTAAAGACCAATTATAAAACATAGCAACGATCTCTCCTGCAATAACGGAAAAGTATATAGCGTTGTGACTATATTTATTTTTATTTTTATTCGTAAATATATACGCTTTCATTTAATATATACAAAAAGTAAACTGAAATAACCAATTCAATAACACAAATAAAAATCTCTGAAGCATGAAAAACGACGGAAATCTGTATGAAGAGTTTCTTGCTACAATCTCAGTGAAACAACAAGAAATATTACGCCTATGCTCGCTCCACTGCTGACTACGTTTTCATGAAAACTGAAACTTAGCTTAGCAATATGCCAAGGTCTACAGATTTGACGATCTTAATATAAACACCAAACATTCTACACCAACGTCGCATATTTCAGGCGATTTGATGACAAAACACTGAGGCCTAGAAACGTGACGTGACGTAACGCGGGGTGAGAGAATACTGCGTAGACCAAGTGCTGTTTATTTAATATTTTTGGGTGCCTAAATCGAGAAGTATTAAGCCCACTGAATACTGTTTTCTCATTATACACTTTTGTTAATTCAAATTGTAGTCTATATGGATATATTAAACAGCATTTACTATGAATGCATTTCACAGGGTTATTGTTCTAAAGCAGCTCAGTCTTTTGATTTATCCGACAGCTATTAACCCTTCTATCAGAGGTCAACTGGATTCAATTTGCGCTCTAATGCATTTGCTGATGCACGCGAACAAACACATAAAAGGCTAGTCGTGTGCAGTTTGAAGTGTGAATGGATCTATCTATATAAAAATAAACGTATTCTTTATTTTTAAGCGTCCTTTTGTCCAGAATGGACAATACAAACTCATAATGGGTGATCGTATAACTACATTCCTTGATTGTTTTAGCATTAAAATTATCGAAAGAATATCGATAGAATATCGTAGTTGAGGTATACAGGAATAATGTAGTATAAAATTGGGAGAATAAAGTTTTCGTTAATTTTTATTAAATACAACGTTCATTATGAGCAAAGATCGAATCTAATTATATATATCCCCCAAAATAAAGAAAAAAATACAAACTAAAAATTACTTCGTGTCCTCGTGTATACTTTAAGAAAAAATGTATTCGTAAGCTACTCGTGAAATTTATTTAAATATGTTGTTCTTGATCATCGTAACACAAATATGAAAACGTTTTGAAAGTATAAGTCAAATGTAGCAAATTTTGAATTCGTGATGTATATGTCTTACACATTCTTTCATTTCCAACTGCACATATTTTGGGGTAACTTTTGCCTGGCTTTCAAATTAAAATCTGTGTTATTCTTCATTATATTAATATTTTACCATTTTTGTGTATGTTTTAATTATCTGCAAGCGTTTCGTGTTATTAAATCCTGAAGCCACGACTTAAAATGCTTTTTTTATCTCAACATAAATGACACAACATGCTTTTATTCTGTTTTAAATGGTTTAAGGCTGGAAACATCTTACCCACTAACAAAATGCATTCAACCTGTTACATAAATTCGCGTTGACAAGGAGAGGAAAGCAAATATAAAAGCCCTCGTCTAAAACCAGACGCCTTGCTGCTATAACAGACAATGTTTTTCACTTTAAAATAATTTTAAATTCTCACTCTATATCTCTAGTATTATACGAAACGATACTTTTCTAAGAAACTGTCACATCGTAGTCACGTGGCTTGTGATTTCCTTACGAATATTTCGAGATAATGAAATGTGAGCGGAAGAAAGTATTCCTGGTTGCCAGGTACGTCATAAAATCGAATATGGGTAATGCAAGGTCGACTATCCATACATATATTCAAATAATGAAATAAGTACATTTTAATAAACCGAACCATTACGTACGTACTGAGTGATAAGTGTCACGCTCCGACCGCTGTAACCCTGGAAAATGAGAACACGGACAGGAGGCTGGGAAAATTAAGGGTCCGGTCTAGAGTGTCGGCAATGGAAAATCGCCTTGGCCGGGATCCGAACATCGGTATTCGAGAACTTCGCCAGCCACTTTAGTAACTACATATGGGGCAGGGTACGTGTCGTAAGTTTTTAATCCAGTTTCGGTTCATATTTACGTTATTTAAAGATGCTTTATCAGATATTGATATAATTAAGCTTAAAACAGTAACAAAAAATAATTTACTGTTAACTGAAAGATTCAAAAGAGTGAATCTGAGCAAGATGTACAGTACGAATATTTAAATTCCCCAGAATAGACTGAGGAAAGCCAGGAACATTTTTGTTCAGAATAGTCTGTGCTGCAACCGAGATTTCGATGGGGGGGGGGGGGAACACGTCACCACTCTGTTAACCTGCTTTGTCACGACTCATTCTTCTTACAATGCAAACGGAATTGCCGAAGCAAAATAACTCCGAGCTTCATTGACAGTTACAAATAGACACGTGGCAGGGAGGGGATGACAGTTAAGCGATAATACGAACGGAGAGATAACCCAGTTCTTCCTTTTACGTTATCGGATGTTAAATTACCTTTAGATCGTAGAAGCAGCGCGCGGGTTAAGGGATGTCTGCACTGCTAGGGTTACACAGAACCTTTGGTTCACAAAATACAATATAAAACCTAGTTTATAAGAATGCTACCAATTGTGTCGAAATTAACACGGTAAGAAATGTAAGATTTGAGGTTTTCACAGCGGTGAGTATGAAGACAGAAATCTTCAGGGTAAGAAATGTTTCCAGTTACATTCTTTGCGCTGAGACTGACTCTTTGCCGTCGAGTACCACCTAGCTCTTTCTATCTCATCCCTTCCTCAGTTTCTGCGACGTAGCTCAAACTCAGGAGTTATTTTCCGTCCACTGTACAAGAGGGTCGAGTCACCTACCGGAACGAGGGCAAGATGGCAGATTCGTACTCCTCAATCGTGCACTCCTGCACGAGGAATATGATCGGCTGCAAGACGGCTGCCAGCACTTCCTGGGTCTTCATCTCCTGCTGCAGGCAAGGCCAAATATGCTGAAACCACAGTTTCTGAAACAAACACCAAACATTACTCTGCAGTCTTCTATTTGAGTTACCAAACACAGAGCTGAATCGGTAATTTGCAGAACCACGAGTCCAGTTCTTAACAAAAATTTCGCTATTGCTACTACGGCAATCACCAGGGGGCAAAGTAATAATTTTCTATAAGAATCACATCAATAGAAACCTTTAGAGGGCGTGGGCAACCTGTTGTGTAATTCGTTTCCTCGTACGAAAAGACACGAGTCCAGGTCTCATTTTATTTTACCGCTGGGTTTTGCTTTAGTTCTTAATATAAAGAAATATCTGAAACCCACACCGACTTAAATAGGTCAGCCGAGCAGTGATAAAAGACACAACCACGTAAGCCATGCAATGTTCCTTCTTTATTACGTACTTCCTTAAACAACACGAGTCCAAAAATAACTTCAGTCAATAATTCTACATGCAAAAGACATTAGTGAACTATAGCTGTATTGAAAAGTTAGATACTTGCCAATTATTCGTTAAAGAATAAATAAATGAAGTGTAAATTAAATAGTGTGTCTGCTAGAATGATTTTTTTAGTCATCTCCAAAGTGAGTTTTGTGGACTCATGAGAGTTTGCAGCAAATGACCGATTCAATCAAGCTACAGTCAAAGTGGCTGTGTGCTGTCGATTTAACGTTCTGCCGTAGACATCAGTAAATAAAGGCAAAAAAAAAAAACCCACCCTGGAGTAGACAGAACTGGTAAAACTGCAACCGGTTCTTTTCGCCCAACCGGGGCGGAGACGGACAAAATCAAATTACTTTGAATTATACGGCTAAATGAGGCACTTGAAGTTTTTCATGCATTTATTGTGAACCAGATTCTAAGCGATCGTGATCTGTTTTCAATATTTGCACATTATAACCAAGTCACAGCTGGCAACGGAAATCATTTAAATTTTTATTTTCGAAAGACGTTCATTGTGGGATCTGTAACAAACACACAAGGACATAAATGCAAAGCCTAATGACACGTACGACAAAATTTCTCATTTCTGATTGCCCGGGGGAGTTCCCATGTTGGGGATTCTCCATCGAGTCACATCCGAAAAAAGAAAACGACGGAGGTCTTCGAGTAAAGTGTACTCTATTGACGTCCGAATTCAATTAAAATCGTAAAAGTATAGACAAATATTAGTAAACTCTTCAATGTAAAACTTCGGAGAAAATCAGGTTAGCGTGTTCTCGAGTTGTTATATGCGTACAGACGAACAGATAAACACAGCAAAACTAAGTGACGCATTTTTGCAAAATTAGGTTGCGAACGTGACAACATGTACCATGACAGGAATCTGTCCCAAATGAAATTGTTTTGGTAATGAAAAGAACAAGAAATATTGTCACTTTTGCTTTGGAACAGTCGGATTCTTATCAATTGGGACGCGACTATGTGACGACAATTTCGAACGACCAAGACTGATTATATACGGACGTGCGGATATTAGGTTTTAAGGTAGTGATTGAAGACAAAATAATCTAAACTAAATAGTAACTGCTTATTTTTAAACGTCTAAAAATGTGAACTATTTTAGTTTAATTAAAATCTTGATTCAAGTATACATATGCTTGTTTTGTAGTAACCCCTTTTTCGAAAAGCAAGATACATCGCCAAAGGGTAATTTCCTATTAAATCGTTTAACACAATTGTGGGTTTTCGTTGCTAAACTATGTAATCATATTTTCTATGGTAAAGGGTGAAGTTTGAAAAGCCTCGTCTTATAGAATCCATGTTATATCTGTAAACTTGTAAAGTTAGAAACTTCGAAATTTCTTTAGTAAACTTGCATTGTCTCTAAACCCAAATGTTTCTAAAGAAAATACTCTCCTGTCGTCACCACATAAATAGCAAGAGGGCCTTAATACAGAAATTTCTCTAGTCGTACAGTAATTTCCAATTATCTGTGAGCTTCACACAGAGGATTGCTAAAGGCCGTATCACAGCAACAAGATAGTGTACAGTAAGCCAATATGCAAGAACTTAAATTTACCATTGTCAAATAAGTACCAAGAATACTCTTTAACAAGTTCCACAAATTTGAGGGATATCAGAGGGGACTGAACACATGTTTACGTCAGGTAGAGCTTAAAGACGCCTTCTAGGAATGCGTGTTTGATGGAAATTTACAAGTATTTGTGTGGGTAGGTCATGACATATCAGACACTGACTACAATATATAATATTTTCTACTTTGTTTCCATCCATCCCTTTTAACACATATGACAAAAATTACAGTTTAAATCAAGTTAATACGTTCGAGACAAGCGTAAGCCTAAACTAGCTGGTTAACGATGCATTATACCTGATCAGTTCTGCTGTATTCCAGTGCGTGAACCACTGAACCACAAAAGTAAGATATAAGACCTTATTTATTTATTTTTTTAAAGTATTAGCCAAACTAATACGGTTAATATGGCTCGACAGAGCTCAATTGACATTAAAGAACATATATGTACAAATTTGTAGTCGGGATATTTCAACATTATTTCAGGGATTATTTCCACGGATAAAGCTTGTTTCACCAGACATGAAATTGTAAACTGCCGGTCACATGGTCACAGGAGAACCCTAATTCAATAAGAGTAACCACCCCGCTCACCGGACCTCAATACTAAGTGGTGAAGTCTGCACTGAAAACAACGGGGAACGACTTCAGAAATCATTAAGTTGTTTGTGACTACTGGACATTCAAGGATAAAGATTTTGTCACAAGAAAACTGATGGTTACTCTTCTTTTCCAAGTGTATGTTTTGGAAACGTCCATTATCTCTATAAGTAATTTAGGCGCCATGTGTAATATTTCTGTTCAGTTTTCAGCATAGCCAAAATCTTCTTTATTTCAGATGCATTTATGGGATACTCCATACAGCCGACATTTCTAAATGGAGTCTTCATAAGTAAACTAACGTAACAAATTAATTTCCTGATGTCAAATAACTAAAGGGTTTTGCAGAGAGATGTTTTACATACACAAAGGATATAACATTGTGTTAGCTTTCCACATTGATGACCTCGTCAAGTTTCTGTGGTTCAGCCTTATATAAGCGTCTCACTTGCTGGCCATATTCTTCGCCCAGAGTACATATTCAGCAAATTCAAAGGGAGGACACTGATGTCTCAGTTTGCGTCTAACTTTGGAATTAACCCACTCTGAGAACCTAATAAGCTACACAACTTCAATGACAATTACAACATGACCGCAGGCATTTTCATGTTCAGCAGTTACAAGCAGAGTCTGTTGAAATCGACGGCGTAATTAACATTTTCACACATCTGGTTTTCATATTTGTATTTGTAGGCTCAAAGCATCATAACAACGGTCTAGTTAACTCTTTAATTTTTTTAACCACTAGAAGGGTGTACTTTTATGAAGGTAATAAGAGATACATACAATGGTTTAAACATAACATAATATTATAAAATAGCAACTGTACAAAAATGTTATATATTACATATACGGCATATTTGGTATCATTTGAACCTTAGCAGTGGAATTTATGCACAGGAATGGGACAGTAAAATGAAAATTAATAATTACTATCCTTAGCATTTTAACAAAAATGGTCTCCGTAAGATCTTGTTACGGCGAGGACTGGTAAAACGACTCTAGAGGCGTGACCTCACATTTATTTCTATAAATATTTTGAACTGAAAAGTAGCAAGCACTTCCGAAATTTAGTTCATGGTGAATTCCATACCAAATTCAATGTTTACTTCACCATGGATCGACCCACAATGCGGAGGATTCGCGTAGTCGTAACTGTAATGGGTTACAGATTAACCTTCCACTCTTGTTTACTTCAAGTGTCCATTCAGAAAGGGCGTTCTTGAAAAATAAAGGACTACACAATGGCTTAGGATTAGATGCTCTGATCGGCATACGAGATTGGCAACTAGGAGCCATCCCCAGAGTCCAGGGCAGCTGAAGAACAGAAGAAGAGTGTGACCAGAGACGTGATAGCAGCGAAACCGAAATTAGTTTCTCCATTTCTTTCCACCTCTCAGCTAATTAATGTAAAGTCGACTGCTGTAGTATCGACCTGGACAAAGGCCAAGCGAGCTGAATTCACAAGAGACAGGAGAAGGCAGTATAGTCACTGTCTGCCACTGTCAGGTTGAGGGCGTACAGACTTCGCTACAGCAGTGACTAGACATTCTCTATGGACACTGCCACCGTTAATAATGTTACGTTAGGTTGGGTTGGGTCGGGTTGGGTTAAGTTAGGTTAGGTTAGGTTAGGTTAGGTTAGGTTGGGTTAGGTTAGGTTAGGTTAGGTTAGGTTAGGTTAGGTTAGGTTAGGTTAGGTTAGGCGTGGAGTTGATTTATTCGTGACGACAGACGGGTGAACAATTTTTTTAAACTTTTCGTTAAAATTTCCTTCGGCTATTTATCTTCTCTCTCTTTACACAACAATCAATTTGTAACTGGAGTATGTTGGCCTTTGTTAATGATAAACGTACACGCTTTTAAGTCGGGCTAAAATAACAATGGCTGTCTTCACTCGCATCTATGCAAACTATCTATCGCTCTGCTAGATTTAGATCATTTCGATAAATGCAAGGGACTAAGATTTGCCAACAGCAGTTATCTCTCTAATGTACACAACAGTCGTTATTAATATTATGCTTAAAATAATTCCTCGAGGCGGAGGAAATGTCTAGCGAATGTAATTTTTATCCGACCGGCGAACTGAACCAACATCTGTTGAACCTATTTATGAGACAGTTTTATATATATATCTTATACCTTTCAGACTGTCTTATTTCGCTTCTATCTTCTGCGAAAGTAAGCAATGGTCTGTTTCTTTTCCAGATGTTCGGAAACAACTGTCTTAATTATTATCTGGATAAATGGATCCAGAAACAATGAACATCATTTATTTACATATAAGCTTGTAAACAGCCAAATAGACCTATTACACCTAACCACTAAAAACTACTATGATGATGATTTGTACACTGAATATTAGGCAACTCTAAGCGAAACGATGTTACTAAATAGGGCACTGGGCCTGCCTTGAAGAACTGTGTGACGCTGATTCAATTCGATACTTCCACGCGAGAGAGCGCTGCGTGGTGTTTACCACAGTCTCTATTGTTACCCGCTTTTTATACGAGGCACGAAGAAGCTTAGAGATCTACCTCAGAAGGCTTGGACACAGTAATCCCTGGTATTGGAAACCAGCAGTGCCTCTTTTGTTGACATCTCTCGTCTTGGATCACTAATAGGATTCCACACGAGCAGATACCGTACGAATTTACAATATAATTAAACGCACAAAGGGATAAAAAGAGTGAGTCCTTATGTAAGCAGAACTGAAAATGATAGGCCGAAATACTTCCTGTGTAGCTGAATCCCCAACAAAAAACCTGAAATCGATAACAATTTTGTTCGTATCTCTTACAACGTAAACATCAAACTGATTGTAATTATACCCGTTCTGTGAGGGGAGAAAAAAGTTTGTTTCAATTTTCCGACGAGAGTTCGTATTAACGAAAAATCAGCCAAGTGTCCCGTCTTTTAACACGTCTTCTGGGATAAAACGCCTTGTAGTCTGATAAAAGTTTACCGGCGTTGCAGAGGTGTTTACTATCTCCACCATCGGCAAATACTACCAGAAGGAGGCCATCTTTAAATTCGCAATCGTGAGAACCTGAAGTTTCGACTACATGAAAAGTCTATTGGTAGGAAGTTCCTTCTTTTGCGTGTAACTCACAGCGACACGTATTTGAAACTAATTTCTTCATCCTGCACGTTTAGAAAAGCAGCAAACTCCTACGCCAGATTTTACTTTCGGAACAATATTTCTTCTCAATTTTCGTGCGTCGTTTCGTCATACATCATTAATGACGCCATATTTAGACTGACAGTCATCTCTTTAATTACTTTTCGCGTTAACTTTAAATCCCTATATCGCACACTTACGTACCAATTTTCTCCTTCGGTAAATTTTCTAACCTTTACAATAAATCCCCGTCTTTCAACAGAGAAAAGTACCACGTAATAAGCGAAATTTTAATTACTGTTCATTTATTATTTACAGATAATATAAGTACAAAACAGACAGATTATCTTGATAGCCAAATGAGAGACGAGCAGAGAGGAGGGTTGGAAATGAAGAAGGTTTCTCTCTAAGAGTTTGGTGGAAAACATTTGTTCATTGCAAACTGACATGCAACCGTCAAGTTTTAACCTGTTTTCTGTGGCGTTTGTCGTTTTAAAGTTGGCAGTCATACAAAAATTCGGATAATGTTAATATGTAAGACAGACAGAACACTAACCCCTGGATAGCGACGACCGTGCACAACAGCGTGCAGCTGACTGGAGACAGATACAGCAATCCTCATTAGCCACGAATTTCACACTTTTCTGTCATTAGCACCTATCCAGTGTCCCACATCAGTGTTTCTCGACTTTTCTGGAGTAGCAGACCCCCCCCTCCCCAAAATATTTCATACATTTTGATTAAACAGAATACATAAGATGGTAAAGTTGCGTCATATTGTGATATAATAAGTATATATTAAATCTTGTCCGTCTAATTACAATAATTCTTATTAAATATTAAAATATTACAATAATTAACATTTAAAATATTTAAAATAATTAACATTTAAAATATTTTAAATATTTTAAATGTTAATTATTGTAATATTTTAATATTTAATAAGAATTATTGTGATTAGACGGACAAGATTTAATATATAAACAGAATACAGTCTAACTAAAATACATATAGACGGTATCATTTCTTGGAATGTTCTTAAGCTAACGTGTAAATAAATATGTGATTAAATATTTAAAACTTTCAGTAATATGGCATAAAAGAAAAGAATCTAATCAACTTGCGGACCCCCGGTTGATAATCACTGTCCTAAACCTCAAGGAAATAATCTGTGGCTTCCAGTTCAAGAGATCAAAATTTGCCGACGCAAAAGTTGTAAAGGCAGCTAAAGCCAGTATTCCGGCTTCCATATCATCGTTGCGGTGTTTATTATTAAGCGCTTTTGCGATTAGCAAACGAGCAATAACTTAGTTTCTTATGAGTACTAACATCAGTAGTGATTTTCCTAATCTGAAGCGCCGAGTAACGCGCGGATTAGACAGTAAGAGTGTGTCTGTTTACCAACAGAAAATCCCATATAAATAAGTGCATTAATGTTTGCTCTGCTGACTGTAATAAGGATGTCTTGAAAATTGTGAAAAGCGAAAGGGAGTTACGCCCCCCC